GAGAGAGAGAGAGAGAGAGAGAGAGAGAGAGAGAGAGAGAGAGAGAGAGAGATCTGAAAGGCCAGATACCTTATCTTGCAAATTAAATAACCTCCACTCTAATAGTTGGCCGACACGTTCTTGGTAATTCTCAAGACTCATCTACGAGACGTTTGAACTTAAAGAGTAGGATTAAAAAGTAAAATTAATTTATTTCACTTATATATACGCCCAAATTCTAGCTCCCTCACACCGAAAGTATTTATTTGACAGAAAAACTTTCGGTGTAAGCAGTGTTTACAACGAGAATTTAAGCCATAAGACTTAAGCTTTAAGTCTGTGATTGGTCAACTTCTTAAGTAATCACAGTCAAATATGAGAGAAATGGTGTCGAAAAATCGACTGTGATTGATCAATTTCTTAAATCTTATGACTTAAGTTCTCATTGCAGACATCACTTAAAGAAACTAGAGTGTAAGCGTAAGCGAAATAAGTTATTTTTATTTTTTACTTCTACTCTTGTTCCTTACTCCACGTACCGTAGACAGCCACTTACATCCAACGTACTGTTACAGCGCTCTTACTGTCAAGAGGAGCTTCTGGCAGAAAATGGGAAGTTTCTACGAATTTTTTTTCAAAGAAATGAATGAAGGCGCCAATATAGGCACCACCTCGATCATGCTATCTGTCATTGTTTTAAGCATAAAAAATTTTGGTCATTTAAACTAGTACCTTCCATCAAACTATAGCGCGATTTAGCGACCGACCATTTAAATGGCAAACTGCCTGTGTCATTTTTCTTTTCTCTCACATGGATGTTATTGCTAATCGCTGATGAATCTCTGTTGCAGACGTCTCTCTGTGGTATCAAATGGAGAAAACTCGTTTGGGGCGAGGTGGCCGGCGGATTTGGTGGTACTCCTCTCGAGGATCCGGTGCTGTCAAGCTTCTCACGATGTCTTGCTGGTGACATCCTGTGCGTGTGGCGGCGTGTGGCCGGCACGCCGGCTTCCAACGGCCCGGCGGCCGTCGCCGCCGCCGCCGCTTCGGCGCCCGGGGCTGGCATCTTCGACCTGGGCATCGCGCCCTCGCCCGCGCCCCCGCCGCTCTCCCTCAACGCCGCCAAGGAGCTCTGGATCTTCTGGTACGGCGAGGAACCCGATCTCTCCGGTCTCGTATCGCCGGAGCTCATCGCTTGCGGTGAGTATATAATGTATTTGCCCGGAAGCGTGCGGGGCGGGCACACCAAGTTCCTCGTCCCGGAAGCCAGAACCCGGCCGGGATTAGCGTTTGAAGTTCCTGTAAACGTGAACTGTCTGTTTTAGAACGTCCCGGAACACTTACGAAATGCCATATTCGAGGTAGAGAATTGCCACGAGCATCGTATCTGCGCCTTGAGAAAGAAAGGGCTAGAGTGTCCCTTTCTTCAGCCTCATTAGCTGATATTTCAATAACTGAAGAACGAAATTCGCGATTGATCTCGGCGAATTGTTAAGTCTGAAACTATTTCAGACCTCGGGGACTTGCCCAAATAAATGCGGAAGAAAGTGGCACTCTGTCCTTTTCCTTGTTTCTATCAAGGTATTATCCTGATAATAATCCCTCACATTTGTCGGTAACATGCAGATTATACGCGAGTAAGGCGATTGAAGGCGTCCGCTCGCAGATAATCGCACGGTCTTTCGGTAGGTGGCGGAAACTGATAGTTCCGATTCATAGAGATTATAGCCACGATACGGTGCCACGTAGAGTGCGCACGTAGGACTGTAAGCAGCAATTACGCGATGTTTATACGCCGCTGTAGCGCCGGCAAGGAGACCGTGACTAAGCTAACTTTTATTGCGTACTTTCCAAGAGGAAGTTTCGACACGTAAGAGACACGAAGGGCCCACCACGTCGTTGCGTCAACGGATTGGCGGGCGCTTAGCCGACGAGAAAGACCTCAGCTGTGTTTATGAGCAAACATATCTCTACTGAGGATCTCAGCTCTCCGCACGCATTTGTATATATATACATCTCCTTGCACCGGACGGTATCATTGAACAGAAACGGCAGCGTCAGAACTCAAACGAGACACAGAGAAGAAAAATACGATTAAAAGTGAAACTCGCGTCTTCGGATACCCGCGATAAAAGCAACTCGTATGAGCGCGCGCCAGCCCGTAAATCATACACCCCATCATCACTCGACTGTAGTGTGTATCTTCTCGACTTCGGGGACGGGTGTGATCAGAACGAGAGTTCCAAGTTGCTCTTAGATGGCGGATTTGACGGTGAATTTTCACGACATCGCCGAGCCTCAGAGCGAATCACGTCATGGTAACCGACGACTGCTTCCCCGTGCTTTTGTTCGAAAGGTGCGCGCTGCGCACGGACGCAGCGCGCTCGCACCGTGTAACGTCGTGCAACGGGCCGCCGTCGAGCCGGACCGGGCCCCGTGTTTCTCCGACCGGGGTCGCTGAACCATGCACTTGTCTGCAACTCGTTGCAGCGCGCAACGTATAGATCTACTGTTGCGCATCGCGCGCGGCCGCCGCAGAGTGCACCAATTGCGGAACCAGCCGACCGGCCGGTGAACCGTTAAGACTAAAACGTCGCGTCGCGTCGCCGCTAGCGACGATAGTCGCAGTGGACAGTCGTTGTCGCGGAATAAGAAATGACGAGTCGCCCAATGAGATGCAACGGTCGTCTGTCAAACGCACCTTCCTCCGTTTGTAGGCGGAGATACTGATTCTCTCTCTTGTTCGCGAGAGAAAAAGAGAGAGAGAATATTGTCATATATTCACGGGAACGGAATCGATTACTATACAGGGTGTTGACAAAGAAAAGAGCTCGAAACTTATGGAATACGTAGCACTTATTAAACTGAGGGAAAGATATTTCGTGAACATGAATCGAAGAATCAATCATTTCAGAGTTAGGAAAGTTTTTTGGTTTTGATGGTGTATTTAGTAAATACTATTTGTTCTATAAATCTTGAACTGTTTTTTTTTTTTTAATACCTTCTATAGTATTGTCCGTTTTATCATGCTGTCAATGTGCAAGATGTAATTAAGATTGAGTTAGGTACATAGAAAAAAGAACATTGCTACTTCGAAAATGTCTTTATTTTTTTTACAAAAATGTTAGAATAAGATTTACATAGCGCTAAATGAAGATGAGTTACTTGCATCAATATATTTTATGATTCAACAAAGAAAATTTTATTATGCAAGGGTAATTTTTAAATGTCGTAAGAAGATATAATGAAAATAATGATATTGTACTTGTGTGAAACAAGAATGTGTTATATACAAATAAAATTACACCATTGTCGAAATTAAAGACTAAAAAAGAAAATTCTTCTATCTATCTAAAAATATCATTGCTTACACATAAAACGATTGTTAATTCGAGTATATGTTAGTTTTATGTGGATAGTGATCTTTTTTCTGTGTATAAATATGAATACGCCATGGCAAACGTGCGAACACGGTGCAACGGTAGAACGCGTTCTGCTTTCACGAAGAAGAAAACACTTTATCGTCAAAACGACTGTCGGCTGGGAGCTTCTCGACGAACGTTCGGATTTTGGGCGATGCAGACTGCAATGAGACCGCGGCTAGTGGTCCATGAGAGATGCAACTCCCTCAGGCTCCGGTCATATCGATCGACAGAACACGTGTTCTCCTACCCAGTGACTCTCAACGACAGAACCGCGTAGAGGGCAGCGTTTCCGTGACGCGTGTATTTGTAAAAGCCGCAGAAACATCCGCCACGGCGCGGGTCGTGCAAGTTTTGACGTTGAAGAGCTACGTGCAACGCGCAACACCCCGTCATTAGATATTATTTCTATTCGCGGTAGTAGCTTTGAGGAGGAAGCACGCGTGCACGTTTCATTCCTTATAAATTTCGCCATTTTAACGGAACCGGAGCCGCACTCGTCGCGCGCTCGTGCTCTCGGCGGACGAACTCGCTCGTTCCTTTCTTCGTGTTTCGAAGCGTTCGCGTGAGAACAAAATCAGGGGAAAGCTGGCCCGAGCGACTCAGGATTCTAGAACTTTTCAGTTTTCTCGGTCAACTTCTCCTCTGCCTGCCTTCCGCGGAACGCTCACCGCCGACGTGACTCGCTGTGATTTTATACGCGAATCGCATTACTTTCACAGTAAATTCTGCCACCGTTGCGACCCCCTCCCTCCCCTCTCGCCCTTACCCTCCCCCCCCCTCCCAAACAACTCGCGAGCTGTTGCCAACAGATAAAAGCGGAATTTTATTTACACTCCGCCGTGCAATAATGATATCACGATAATTAAACGGACGATAGTATCATCCCACCCATAATATTATCATATCACACAGGTATACGTGCGTTCTTTCTTTTGAGGAGAAAAAGATAAATGTTTCGCTTGTCTTCACTTAATTAGAACGGCAGCGAATGTATCTGTTATTTCTGCGTATTTTTAGAAATCGATCGTCTATATGGAGCACTCTAGTTCCTCGTGATGCGTTCGTATGGATTACACGAGCATACTCTGTCTAGTGTACATATATGTGTGTGTGTGTATGTGTGTGTATATATGTGTGTGTGTATGCGTGTATATATGTGTGTGTGTATGTGTGTATATATGTGTGTGTGTGTATATTTATAAGCAGCTATTTTGCAGCTATATCGCTAAAGCACATTGCTTTTACGATTTCATTATTTATTATCGTTACAGAAAGCGAGCAGGGTTCTTGGGAAAGCGGATTGTCGTACGAGTGCCGATCACTTCTTTTCAAGGCTCTGCATAACTTGATCGAACGGTGTTTGCTATCCCGTGACTTTGTTCGCTTAGGAAAGTGGTTTGTGCAACCTTACGATGGCTTCGAGAAACACCGTTGCAGCAGGTACGTTCGTTCATATTTTAGAAAGTAGGAAACTAACGTTGCACGTATGTTATCCCCTTGTTTCTTGTACCACAAGGAACAATGAGTTGATCATACGCGTGAAAAATTGAAAACATGAACACTCGGACAAAGAATATTGGCCCCGACTAATGTTAATTCATTGTGCGTTGATTACTCTTACAGCAGTCACTTGTCGTTCTCATTTGCATTCTTCGTTCACGGAGAAAGTACTGTGTGTGCGAGCGTGGACGTCAGGCAGCATCCTGCTGTACGGCATCTCACAAGGACGTGTCTACAACGTACTCAGACCTCCCAATCTGGTGTTAAGGGTGAGTGTCAGTTCGCTAGCGGGAGAAATCCCTGGTGCAACATCTATAAACTTTTGCCAAATCACATTAACGTTACCTTTCTCCCTCTTGCAGTGATCTTAGCTCCTTACGGACTAGCGGGCACATTGACGGGTCAGGTGAGCCGTGTGGACGGTCAACTTCTCGAAGAATGGAAACAATTTTATCCGATAAACAGCAGCAACACGGAAGCAGGCCTTCCACCCCTCGTGGAGGTCCTCGTCGGTGGCGTGCGCATGCGTTATCCCTCTTGTTACGTCTTAGTTACGGATATGGATGATACGCCACCCGAAATTCCTCTCTCACCACCGAGCAGCCCCATCACCTGCGAACGACCCCTCTTGACGCAACAGGAACTGAGGGCAGCTACTGAATTACCAGAACGCGTATGGGCAGAATGCACTTTGAGTTCGCCAATATCTGCTTCCAAGACAGAATCTTCCACGGAGCCTGGAACCTGGACGTTTGTCGAACCGACGCAAAAGTCTTCCTGTACCTGTTCGAAGTGAGTACGCCGAGGAGTCTGCGACTCCTTCACGTGTGATCTCGTTGCATCGTGCGTGATATATACTGTCGTACCTTTTAGATTATATAAATCGTGAAAATTAATTGTTTACTGTACTGTTTAGCGAGAGGAGGTATTTAGATCGTTTCGCGATTGCTTAACACTATCAACTATAGATCTAAGTCGACTACAATTCTCTTGTGGATGTGTATCAATTAGCGTGTCAGAAATGCAATAGTAAACATTTAATTTTTGCTCGAGATTTGGTCAATTTAATAACGTCGGAATAGTAATATATCTGCCATCATATTGATTTGTTTGCATGATACATAGCACAAAATATAGAATGTAGATCGTTTTAAAGTGTTACAAAGCAGGTAGTAGTGTGATGGCTGTTGTAATGTGTGCATGAATATATAGTCTTTGAAGATGGCTCAAATGCAATTATTCTCAGTAGTCGGCTTGTTGATGCATTTATTGTTATAGAGTCATTTCGGGTCTGTAAAGTTGCTGTCTCTTATTTGTGATTTTAGGGCAACTGCAACTTCAAACACTTTTATATCATTTATTGCGTTGCATTTGAGCTTCTATAAGAAAATGTACCGTTTAGGACCGAGTATATTTTACGGATAGCGATGTAATATCGATTATAAATTAGAGGGCCCTGAAGTATTATTTTTAAACGAAAAGACAAACAGTCGCAATTTTCAGTCATATAAATTTCTCGCGTGTTTTCTCGTAATTTGACAAAAGTTCTAACATTGCGGCCGATTTTATAACGATTTAATTCACGCGCAAGCGGTTGCTGCTTCAGGACTCTGCAAGGCGAAGCCATAGAGAAGATGCGTGCAAAGAAACGAGATGTTAAGTACGTCGGTTGCAGGTATACGACCCCCGGGGGTTGGAAGAGCCTGGCCTCCTCTCAGGTTCAGAGGGAGAGGGTAGATAAAGGTGGACGGAGGGTCGTGCCGTTTCACCGACGCTCTACCACCCAGTGGGACGCTTGTCCCTCTGTCCCTGCCAATGCCCCCAGGTGGGTAATTTCTGTCCCGACACACGAGGAGAAATTAATCTTCGTCATTTCTCTTAATCAGTCACCGCAATAACGCCAGTTTTTTACATGATCATAACGACCCCTCTACCCCCGCGCATAACTTCACCTGCGAAAACCATCGCTTGCGGCAGCTCCGTCATTTCATAATTTGCCCAAGTAACTCGACCCGGTGCACGATAACGCCATTAATCGGATTTCATTTCACTGTTCCGCAAAGGTAAAACAAAAGCATGTGCATTTAGTAAGGTAAAAATACCTATACTCATGCACCTAATTTTTGAAATTCTTATTATTATTTTGGTCTTATAAGATATAAATATTTAAACTTTCAGCATAAAATACACATACATATAAGTCATTGAGAATATACATACATACATTCTATGTTGAAAGTTTAAATATCCGTATTTAAAGGTCAAAATAATAAGAATGTTCAGGATTAGGTACGTGTCCGGGAATTGCTACTTTTACCTTAACCGTGATCGAGTCATGCGCGCCAAGAGAGGACGAACAGCAAAGCTAACACTCTCTTCATACATTTGAGACACGCGACGGAATTGTGCGAGTCTCGTCTCGTCACGTTTCATCAAGTACTTGGAATTTTTCGGTGGGTAAATGGGGTCTATACTGATTTTTTAATGTCTAGTAAACTGTATTCTGCATATGCATTCTTACCAATCGTTTACATCTATCAGTGCAGTGTAGTAAGTACAGACAATGTACAGTGAATCTAGTAGCGTATATGTAATGATTACATACTTTAGAGAGCGCGGTGTTTTAATAGAAATATCGAGAATATCTTCTTGGGAAATTGTTTCCGTGGAAAGATTTTACTGCGCGGAAAGAGAGGAAAGCAGAGCAAAGGAAGAGAGAACGGAACGCTGATTAACGTACTTTCACAAGTGATTCGTCGAACGAAAAACGATTTCATTTGCATGATGTGGTAGCAGATGGTATCTGAGTTTTACATATGATTGGTAGTACTATTTCTCTCGCTCCAAACGTATATCTTTCTCGTTTAATACGCTTGTATCATGTACGTGTACATAAGCAAATAGTGCACCGCTTTGCATGCGAGTGTGTGTGTATATATATATATATATATATATATATATATATATATATATATATATATATCGTCCAGGAATATTTCTCTTGTTCTTACAAATTTTCGTTTCTGATTAACATTTGCAAGCTCCTAATTCATGTTCATGCGTATTTTAAATTTCAGTAATCGCGACACACGCTCTTTCTCGCACGACCCAACTGTATCGATAATATTTCTGCGCGCGACAAGATCATTAATTCAACAAGGGAGGACATTAATGATGTTAAAATAGGAATTTCATACAAACTCACATAATTTATACGCACGCATACAGAAAAATATCATTTTCCTGCTAAGAAAAATAATTATTCAATTTACTTTCAAGTAATGGTTGTCCTCAATAAAGAATATTTTCTTGACAATAGTCTCAAGATATACTCGTCACAAAATTAAGGAAAAATTATTATTACGTATTTGAAAAAAATGTATTTATTTACTTTACAAGAATATCAAAGAATATCTTTATCAAAGAAACAGTTGTTTCAATTTCAAGTAGTAAGTAAACCAAACTTTTGTTTCAATTTAATGTTCTCGATTGAAATATTAAACTTACTTGGATGCAGTATTATGAATCTGATGCTTCTGATGTACTGATGACAGTTTTGCTAATATACGTGAAGCATATAATTGACGCTACTTCGATAACACGTTGTAAATATTAATGAGCGTTGATTCAAATGAATATTGCATGATTTAAAGCAGGCTATGCAATGCGTCATTAAAATTTCTTTTGTTGCTGTAGATTTCAAAATCACCTTCAGATTTTTTAATGAAAATCAATTTTTATACTTGAAGTAAGTGACGTTTACTCAAATGCAGCGTGTATTTTTCTGTGTGCACTTTCGAGATTATGGACACGGTCACGCAGTGTCCATCGGGAACAGATCGCTTAGCGCTTTCTCTCATTCGTCTGACACCCAGCGCGAGCACTAATTGCATTTCGTCACGACTAACAAACAGCAGTGTCGTGAGTCGTTCACATGTTATCTGTTTCACTTAAACGAACAGGTCCGTACTGAATAGAACAGAAGCACCTAGTACACCACCGGGCGGCCCTCCCTCGTACTCACGCGGGCCACCAACGGGAGGCGATTGTCTACCAGTTCCGTCGGTCGGCTCGCCAGGTTCCCCGGCACCGTCGCCTCTTCCAACACCGCACTCTGAGCCGGCATCAGTGCCGCCAGCAGAACCCACGATGCCGACCCTCAGTCCACAACCACCACCCAGTCACACGAACACTGCCCCACCTTTGACCCCGTCGCAAGGGCCCAAGTCTATTTCTTCCGCGTGCAACAATCAGGTGCATAGTCCTGCACCTGGGCCGATACTGAAGCGACCGACCTTGATGTCCAAGGATTACGAGGGTGCTCTCTTGGAAGACGATCGTCCTCTATCCATTCTATATGATTATTCGACGCAGGAGGCGTGGCTGAATCATCCTGTGAAGCGTTTCAAAACCAACGACATGGAACCGATCGACGTGCGGAGCAATACTCTGTACCCACCGATGAACTCTCAGACGCATCAGTCTCAAGCACCCAAGCTGGAAGTCCCCCAGGAACCGGTCGCGGTGGTGAGTAGATCGTCGAGACGATGCTTGATTCGTTAAGATACGTAGCCACACGTGTAACGTTACGTCTCGCAATTTTAGGGAGAGTGTATTGGAAGAAGAACGGATCCCTACGAGTTCGACGCGACAGGCGAAGAGAACGGCACAAACGTCGACGGACTCAGGCGACAGAGGGATGACCCGACTAAGCCAGGATCTCTATTCACTAGCGAGGGCCTCCAACCATCCTACAAAGATCTAGATCAAATATTCGACAACTCTGATCCTGATACTTCTAGCGACGAAACGGTAAGTCAATTTTCCTTCTACGAGATGAAAATAATCTCCATTTCACGTTTGGGAGGCGTCAACGATAAAGACGACTCACGTTTATCTTTGCAGAATCTGAATCAACTGCAAATACAAACGCCACCAGGCTCCAACAAATCCGGTGGATTGCATGAGGAGACGAGAATAGATGGCACCAACAAAAATAATCGAGGTGTCACAGTTCTGCGACCAGAAGAACTTTCCAAGATGTTTCCGACTCCGCCGTCTCTTGAACACAATCCGGTAGCTTCTCCTTGTCAGCTGAACGACCCTCTCATGGACCAGACTGACCTCCTTATACCCACACGACCGCTCAGGCATGTACCCGATATCTATCCCAATATGGGCTCTCCCCAAGAGGAGCCAATCGACGATTGGTCGTACGTGTTCAAGCCGACATCCATCTGCAAGATGGTCGGTTCTTCCAAATATGCACCCCTTACGAATCTGCCTAGCCAATCCCTGCCATCCATCACACTGCCATCGCACTGCGTGTACAGACCTTCCTGGCAGTGCAATCCTGCTTCCACCAACGCGGAGAAACCTCTTCCACCAACTAGGCCCGGATCCGTGCAACAACAGCAACAGCAGCAACAACAGCAGCAGCAGCAGCAACAATCGCAGCAACAGCCGCCGCAACAACCGCAGCAACAACAGCAGCAGCATCCTTGTCCGCAGAGTCCGGCACCTTTGAGCGCGCCTTATCGTGCGGCTACTCTTCCCGGAAGGCCACCCCCGCCTCCGTACGACCAACCAAGTCCGGCTACTTCCACCACATCCTCGTATCTCAATAAGAACTTGAACAGCATCGAGGCGGACACGCCGGGACCCACTCGTGCGCCTGAATCGAATTCCCTCGTGGTGAATATTCTTCTAGGCGACACTGCGCTAAATATCTTCCGCGATCATAACTTTGACAGCGGCAGCTTGTGCGTGTGCAACGCCGGGCCAAAAGTCGTGGGAAATATCAAAGGCGCCGACGCGGGCATCTACCTTAGCAATTCGTGGATGGGCACCGCGCTGTTCCAGGACGACGATCAGATCAGGTGCAGCTGCGGCTTCAGCGCAGTAGTGAATCGCCGACTGGCGCACAGAGCGGGCCTATTCTATGAGGACGAAATGGAAATCACGGGCATCGCGGAGGACCCCGCGGAGAAGAAGAAGGGCTCGCTCGCCGCGGTCGCGTGTCCCGGCGGCAAGCCGCCGGATGGTCTCGACACGATACCACCGAACGTGCTCGAATTACTGCGAGAACAATGCCTGATCGTTCAGAGCTCGGCCAGCAGTCTGTACAGAGCGGCTAGGATATGCGCCACGACGAAGAGCTATCCGACGTTAACGCCGACGGTCAACACTTTGGAGTTCAACGACGGCAACGAGGTGTCTCTCGCGGCACTTGACCAGGCCAAGATCGACGGTACGCACAACGAAAGAACCAATCGCGTCAACGGCGTGCACCGGTGGGTGTTCCTGCGAGCGAGGGGACCGCAGTGCAGCGGCGACATCGTGCGTATGATGAGATCGTTGCAGCCACTGCTCCAGGACGCCGTGCAAAAGAAGTGCACCACGCGTATGTGGGAGGCACCGTACACCGTCACCGGTCCGCTCACGTGGCGACAGTTTCACCGTCTGGCTGGTCGTGGCACCGACGATCGTTGCGAACCGCAACCGATTCCCGCTCTGGTCGTCGGCTACGATCGAGACTGGTTATCCTTGTCGCCGTATGCTCTCAGTTATTGGGAGAAGTTGTTGTTAGAACCATACGCCGGGCCCCGAGACGTCGCGTATGTTGTGGTCGCACCGGATAGCGACTGTGTCGTCAATAAAGTTAAATCGTTTTTCCGAGAGCTGTCTACTACGTACGAGGTAAGTGACAAGTTTCACTTTACACGAGTGTCAATCGTTTCAAGTCATATGGTTTCTATTTAGTTGGTGCAGAAAGCCTTTGTCAAGTAAAATAGAAAACGAAATTTTGAAGAATTCATCATTTTCGAATTATATGAATAACATTCACTCGACATTTTGTAGTGACTACCAACGAAGACGTTCTATGTCCCTTTTGATTCCTAGACTTCCTACGAGAATTTAATAAAGAAAGTTGCACCAACCCAGTAAAAGAGAACAATCTCATTGATAATTCGCAGTGTCGTGTGTATAATTTGTTACATTTGCTTATCTATTTATTTACATATTGTCTGATAATAAGTATCTCATATCTCGTGTACATGTAGATCAAGTCAAACTAAATATAAAATTCCTATACTACTTTACAAACAACTATCTACAATCTTGTGTTATTAATTTAAAAAAAAATTGGCGAAGATCACGCGCGATACAGCAGATCAGCCGTGATATTGACGTCCCGCGTTGTGTATTTTTAGATTAGATCAAACTGAAGAAAGAAGTTCTGTATTATTTTACAAAATTTGCAAAAACCACGTAAATTTTTGAGTTACTAATTAAAGAAGATTGGCGTATATGATCGGGCGTGATAATGCATCAGTGTTCTTTTAATCAATAACTAAAAATCTGTACGGTTGTTTGCAAAATGATAAAGGAATTTTGTGTTCAGTTTGATCTATTCTTCATGCATACGAGTGTGAATATTTATCATACATCCTGTATAATAGAAATATTGAAATGTAAAACATTGTTCTTAATGTGTCGCAGATATGTCGGTTAGGAAGACACACGCCGATTTCGAAAACGCTACGCGACGGGATTCTGCGTGTCGGCAAGTCGACCGTGCAGAAGTTAACCAAGTCACCGGTAGACGACTGGTTTAAGCTTCTGGGAGAGAATCATATAGGGGAGTTACTGAGGCTATATGCCCAAGTGTGCAACAGTCGATTAGCTCCGTATCTTACGCAAATTATACAAGATCGCAGTCTGTTGGATCCCAGTGACGCACAGCCGCCTAACAATAAGCAGCAACAACAGCAACCTGCTATTCCCGTTCCCGACACGATGCCTGCTACTCCTGACGTGTTAACAACCAAGCCCGAATCTGTTGGTGCGTATTTCGACATATCAAGATGGTAACGCGTGTGTTGTTCGCGCAGCTTCGAGTACAAAGTGAGATTTTTCGATTCTTTCTTTACAGAAGGAGAGAATCCGAGGAGCGAGACTCCCTCCTCGAACACGGCGACGAACCAAACCAACACCAACGCTGGTAACACGACACCGACCTCGCAGACGACAACCACTACGCCCATCACCACGACCGCGGGCCCGGACGAGGAAGAGATTGAACCACCGGCTGTTGTTGTCTATCTCGTCGATCCTTTCTCGTTGGGTGGCACCGAGGATCCCGATCGACGACGGCTCGCCATTGTGGCTCTACTCAGAGCTTACTCCTCCGCAATCAACAGCATGCCTGAAAATATTAGATCGAATATCAATGTGCAGGTAATAATCTTTGTAATACTGAACGATTGGGGAATTAGCGATTCGACAATTGTCGCGTGTGCGTGTCTGAAATATCGATTTACTTTCAGTTAATATCCTTGGAGAGCATTATGGAACTGGGACGCGCTAGGGAGAGGCGAAAAATTCAAGACGAGATGAGAGCTCTGGCTCTGAACGTTTTTCTGCAAGGACGTCGATTACTGAATCACAATTCCATGGTGAAGAGCCTCACCGGTTTCGGTACTGCCGCCGCCGCAGATATCTTCCTCAAGAGTAAAGACGTAAGACTCCACAGTTGTTACTGTCAATTATATAATTAGTTATAACTAAATACGAATGTATATATATATATATATATATATATATAT